CAAACTGTTTTATTATTTTTTTAACTTATTTTTTGGGATACCAAGGATTGAACTGAAGGGCACTCAACCACTGAGCCACATTCCCAGCCCAATTAGAGACAGGGTCTCACTGAGTTGCTTAGTGCCTTGAAGTTGCTGAGGCTGGCTTTGAACTCAAGATCCCCCTGTCTCAGTCTCCTGAGCTGCTGGGATTACAGGTGTGCGCCATGGCGCTCAGCCAAACTGATTTTATATGCCAGCATTTCAAATTGTTCTGTAAGCACAGACAAGTTAAAATCAAATAAGGATCAAATCATGCAGACCTCAGTACAACATGTCAACATGCTGACCTTCTTGTACTTCCATTTCCTCATTCATTTAAATGTTTACACTGCATTCCATAAAGCTTTTGACACTTCTGTTAAAAACTCTAGAAAGTGAATGAGTTAAAGACACTGTGCATCCATCCTTAAAAAGGTTCAGCACAATTACTATGTGACCTAAACAATTCCATTCCTAGACAGCTGCTCCAAGAAAGTTCATACATGTCACACAAATACTTGTGCACAAACATTTATAGCAGTATCATTCACAACAAAAAGTGGAAACAACCCAAATTCCACCACTGATTAATATATAGAAATAAAATGTATTACATCCATATAATGGAATATCAAAAAGGGATGTAGTACTGATTCACACTACAAATATCGAACCTTTGAAAACATTTTGAGTGAAAGAATCCATACTACTAAAATATCCCCCAAAAAAGCAAATCTAAAAAAAAAAATTATAGATTAGTGGTTTCCAGGGTTGAGGGGGAGTGACTGCTACACAGATATAGGGTTTCTTTTAGGGGAGATGGAACTCTCCTAAAATTGATTATAATGATGGATGCACAATTCTGTGAATATGCTAAGTGCTCGTAATTTTGTCATGTGTGAGAATTATCTCAAAGTCATTATTAAAAACACAGAAAGAAACCAGGCACTCAGTGGCAAAGCCTGTAATCCCTTCCCGAAATTTGCTCCCTCTAGAAGCTGAGGCAGGAAGATCTTAAGTTTGAGGGCAGCCTGTGCCACTTTGCAGACCCTCAACAATTTAATTGAGACCCTGTCTGGGTGGGGGGCGGGAGGAGGGGAGGGGAGACTGACACAGCTCTAATGTAGCTCTGTGGTAAAGCACCTCTGGATTCAATACTCAGTACCCCACCTAAAGAAAGAAAGAAAAAAGAAAAACCCATACAAAAAGATGTCTGAAAGGATTTTTTTACAATAACAGTGTGATCCTCAAATTACATATAATTGATATCCAATAAACATTGGTTGATGAACACACTTAAAAAAAACTATACTTATCAAAACAATGTTATTATACAAAACCATTGTCTTGCACACAGTAAAAGTCTAGTTATTAATCATATAGATGAGTTCACTGCATACCCACAAATCATAAAAAAAAAAGCGCACATTCTTTTTAATATTAAGTGATCATGTTTTTAGTGACAACATGGGATTCACATTAAGAAATTCTATCCATACATGCCTGGGTTGAACTACAATCCAAATTCACTCATTACACATTTCAAATTGCTAAATGGAGGGCTTCACTCTATAGTTGAGTGCTTTCCTAGGATGTGTGAGGCCCTGGGTTTGTTCCCACAACAAAAACAAACAAATAAATAATTAAATAGCCGAATGAGAAATGTACAATAGTCAGTACATAAAAGCAACTGCATGCCACACTGCTCACATTAAGTCTACAGAAATACCTAGGGACCTCAATGTTATTTTAAAGCTCATATTCCTTATTAGTCACTATTGATCAATTATGTCCACTAACAATATTTTTAAAGGAATTACTTGCATTTTGTAATATGGACATGCCAAATACTTGTTCAATTATCTCTTAGCTTATTCACTCAAGAATTTAAGATCATCTTCTAAGCATTGAGTACACAACAAACAGAAAGAATGATAAACAAAAAACTATGCCTTCATGGAACTTCTTTATTTATTTTTTGAGAGAGAATATATCTTTTTGTAGCTGGATACAACACAATGCCTTTATTTTTATGTGGTGCTGAGAATCGAACCCGGGTCATGCCCATGCTAGGCCAGTGCTCTACCGCTGAGCCACAATCCCAGCCCAAATTTATTTATTTTTTTTAAGTAGCTTAAGGACACTTTGTTTTTACAAACATGTCTTATGTTAGCATCAATAAGGAATCCCCCACAATTCACCTAGTAAATGTCCAGTCTTTTCTAAACACAAAGATTTATGAAACATTAGTAGCAGCTTTTCTCTCCTTTTATTAAGACCAACATGGTCTACTTTACAAGATTAATCAAAATTAGAAATCAAAATAACTGACATCCATACAATCTTGACAGACCATGACAGTGGGTTGTAGGAAGCTCATTTAATAGCCCAGGATTCAAATTGCTGAGGCATCAAACAGTTTTTGCTTAAAAAACAAACTTCAAATCTCTCCAGAATCTGTGGATCTCAAGTCATTCAATAACCTGAATTGTGTAATGTGAAAATATTGCATTCTCCCCCACCTCCAAAAAAAGGTAAATTTAGTACAAAGATCACAAAAACTGGCTCAAAAAGGTAACTTTTGGAAACAAAGTCTAAATTCCTTTAAACAATTCAATAATTTAGTGGAAATTTTACTAAAGAGGCCTAACCTTTCTTCTTCTTCTTTTTTTTTTTTTTTTTGCCTTGTTGTTCTCCAAGCTAGGAATATAGAAACCCCAAACTATCCTTAACCACTCTCATGGTTCTAATTTCTCAGAATGCAAAATTCCTTTAATTTTCAGCAATCTACATGTATGAGATGCTGGGAAGTTACAAGGAGGTGGAATCTTTCAGTTGAAACGATCTAAAATCATCTTAAGAGGTTTATAGACAACTTTACTCCAGCCTGAGCTTCTGGACACTTTCCACGCCTACCCAAGTTAAGAGTTATGGAGGATAAGAGCAGCAATGTATGAAGTTCCAGATTAGGCTTTTCCATCTCAATTTGATCAATGGAAATCATCTTAGAGGTTTACCTTTCCCCAAAGTTTTTTTTTGGGGGAAGGGGTTGGCTACCTACCATGTCTTGGTGAAAAGATAACTCCTATCCAAATTAAACCTAAAGGAATGTTCATTAAATTATTGTCAAAGTCATAAAACAGACTGTGGCATACAAGATTGCCTTGAAATTGGAAACACATTCATAAATTCTTTTGAATATAACTTTCTTTACAACTTCCAAGATCTACAAATTCCCAGGGCTAACAATTTTGGAAACTTAACAGTTCTACTCATAAAAATCTCCCAAACATAATTCCAGCACCAAAAAGTCACTGGATTAGAGACACACTGCAGCTTGATTTTTTGGTAACTAAGGACTTAGAAGAGCCCTCTCAAAAAACATTTCCGATTCTTACAAGGCACAGAGTACAAGACGTCACTTGTAACCAACATATAAACACAAAAATGAACCCAAGCACCAAGACGATAAACCTTACCAGGTTGCATAAACAAACAAATAAGCAAGCAGATTAAAACAACAATTCAAAAACAAAGCGTTTTCTTCAGTAAAAGGGAGGTCAGCCACTCAGCAGAAGCACATGACTCATCCACGGGCCTGAACATAAGTATTTACACCGTCCACTACACCCAAAGTGGGATTTCCCATCTTCATCCAAGGCCGAGCTTTGGGGGCATCACAGGAGAACGAAGTTGTGCTATTTCCGTGTGTGCGCGTGCAGGGTGGATCATTTTATTTCGCTGAATCACAACTCCCCCACATTCCCACCCCAAACCAGAACACACACATACAACACCTCAAACAGGAGGCCAAGGCAAGGACGCCAGTTAGACCGACCCAACAAAACAAAGCGCCCAGCGAGGGGCTGCCAAGCTGGGGATGGGTGGGTCAGGAGAGCCTGGCTCGCCCAAGTCACCTCTCCCATCCCCTGGGGGTTGTCTTCGGACAGGCGTGAGATGGCAGCCCCCTCCCTCCAGAGGAAACCTGCCTGGTTCTCGACAGAGCCAAGGGTGACGTCTCATAAGGTAAGAATACGGGGCGGGGGCGAGCTGCCCCAGTCCGGGCAGAAGAACCCAGGTGCCGGAAGAGCGCGCCGTACAAAGCCCACGTGAGCGCCAAGGCCCTGACGGCTCCGGAGTGTCTCAGCCTGGTACAGAGGCGCCTGCGGCCACCACGCCGGGCCCGGACTTACCCCGGCCCGGCGCGCCGCGGACCCCGCGGCGGCCGCTTCCTCCTCCTCCTCCTCCTCACTTGACAAAATGGCGGCGGCAGGAAGTGCCGGGCGCCTCGGCCCGCCCCCCGCCCGCCCCCGGCCGCCCGCCCCGCCGCGGCGCCCGCGCCCCTCGCCTGCAAGCCTGCCCCTCCGGTCGAACTGAGTCTGGGGCCACGGCGCCAAAGGTGGGACGCCGGCAAGCCACCCGACCACCCCGAAGCCACGGGTGCAGCGAACCCGACCCGGCGAGAGCGGCGCGGGAGGCCCACAGGCCCAAGCCCGCGTAGCCCCAGCCTCCCCGCCCCCGCGCCGCGCCGATGGCGTAGGTGGTGGCGCACCGGCCCCATTACGCAATGCAGGTTACGCGGGACGCGCCGTGGACCCCCGCTGCCCGCCCTGCGCGCCCGTCGCCCCGAAGGGCACCGGTCCTTACCTGAGACTCTAGGCCGCACGCCGCCCCCGCCGGCCGTCCGCTGCCGCCGCCCCCTCTCTCCTGGGCTGCCTGCGCGGCGCCGGGGCCCGCCCGCCGCGCCCACCGCTCCGCTGCACTCACAGGCCCAGCTCGCCCGCAGGCACCGCCGGCAGCTGCCGCCGCCGCCGCTGCCGCCACTGCTACTGCTTCGGCTCCTCGGCTGCGGAGAGCAGAACAAACAGCCCTGCCGCCGCCGCCGCCGCCGCCAGCGCACTGACGTCACCGCGCACGTTGCGCGCGCGACCACGTGCTGTCGCCGCCGCCCTGCGTGCGCGCTCTGTCCCGGCGCGGGAGCGAGCAAGCTGCGCAGAGGTAACTGCGGAGGTGAAGAGAGTGCAGGGAAGCGACGCGCAGGGTTTGAGGTAATCTCGCTGCTGGAAGGGACCCAGAAGATCTAATGAGGGCGATCCCTCAGACAGAGAGAGGGGTCCCCGCAGACTGAGAAAAGGGCCCCACAGACCTTGCAGACTAGAGAGGGGGCCCCACAGACCAAGGGAAGGAGCTGAGGGAGACCCACGGACTGGAGGCTGCGCCTGAAAGAAAAGATCTGAAGGTTGAGACAAGCGTCCAAAATTTTACGGAGGATATTGATGATAGACCCTCAGAGAGAGGGAGGACGACGCAGAGATCCCGAGGACGGATGGAAGGGACCGGGAAAAGACTCCTGTCTGAGGGAGGCCGCCTGAGTGAAAGCTGAGCGCCGGAGACGGTGGTGCCGGGATGAAGGCGAGAGCTACGGTGTGGGCGCTGGGTTGAGGTGAAGTGAAGGAAAGGAGGTAAGAGAAGGCTGTCACCAGGCGGAGACGGCACCTTTCTTAGCTGGTCCCTGAAGATCGAAAAGCGCTGGTCTCCGAGCCCAGGGCACTCTCATCCTTAAGATTCAACCCATAAGTCAACTCCTTCCAGTATGGGCTTAGTCTAGATGTGTGACCCCTGGACAATCACAGACCCCTTCTGGGGCTTACAAAGAAAACATCGACCCAAAGCACAAAAAGGCTTTTGGGATCTGTAAAGGGAGGCTAGGCTTAGGTCTCTTGCAACTTAATGTGACGATTCTGTGAAATTTCTCAAACCTGGAAACAACCACCGCCTCTCCCGCGTTTACCTTTATCTTCACTCTCGTCATTTTTAGTCCCATCTTTTAAAAAATAGATGGGGTTGTAGCTTCATAGTAAAACGCTCGCCCAGCAAGCACACACCCCCCCCCCCAGCACCACCAAAAGAGAGAGAGGGGGGAGAAGAAGGAAAGAAAAGAAAGCAAACTAACTCCACTCCAAAAATTCTAGCAAGAATACAGGACAAAACAAAAATTCTAGCAGGCCACTGTAGTGGCGCATCCCGTTTATCCCAGCAATTTATTTATAACCCTAGCAACTGGGGAGGCTCGAGCAGGAGGATGGAAAGGCCAGCCTCAGCAGTTTAGCTAGAACCTAAGCAAATTAGTGGGATCCTATCTCAAACACTAAGTAAAGGGAAGGGGGTGTGGCTCAGTAAAGCACCACTGGGTTCAATTCCCGGGTCAAAAGTTTTTTAAAATAAAATAAAAAAAATCTAAGTAGTAAAGATTTTCCTCATGACTTCTTATTTTAGAATACATTGATATGACTGGATAACATTAAAATTAATTGCTTTTTGCTGGGCATGCTGTCACATCCTAATGCCTGAATAAACTAAGACAGGAGAATGCAGGGTTGAGGCCAGCCTGGGCAATTTACCAAGATCCTGTCTTAAAATAAAAAATAAAAAGAGTTAGGGATGTGTCCTCATTACCATCAGTTTTTTAAAAAAATTACACACACACACACACACACACACACATATATATATATATATATAAAACTTTCTACTGTGTTGTTTGTTCATGATTAACCAAGGGCAATCATAGTTAATGATGAGTTCTAAGAAGCAAACTAAAAACTAAATTTCACCTTTTATTTATTTATTTACTTATTGATTGATTTCATTCTTTTTTTTTTTTTTTTTTTTTTTTTGTGGTAATGAAGATGAAACCCAGGGCCTCTCAAATGCTAGGCAGATTCTCTACCACTAATCCCCAGCCTTTTTTATTTTATTTTGATCACATATTACACTTGATCTTAGCCAAAAGGCCAAGAAGCAATTTTTATTTTGAGACAGGTTTTCTAAATTGCCCAGGCTGGCCTCAGAATCCTGCCTCAGCTTTTCAAGTAGCTGGAATTATAGGCATGTACCCACTGTGCTAAACTTACTCTTCATTTTAACAAAGCATGAGATAAATAATTAATTGCTAAACTAAAGGTGTTAATTGTAACTGATTCCTCAAAGCTTCCTTCTAATTTGTGTTACAGAGTATTGAAATTTGTGAATATCTTCTGGCTCCTGATTTTGCCCACTCAGCAATTTGTGGAAGATGATCAGAAGAAAAACAAATAGGAATGTACATAGGGTTATGAAAATATGAAATAACAACTAATTTGTTGTTGTTAAAGAAACAGGAATGTATCCATTTTAGGTTGCCCTTTCCCTTCATTGTCTTGCATTATCTATTTAATTTATTATTGTTATAGACAAAAGATATATTTGGAAGTAATTGGGAACTGCCAGTTTGAAAGTCACATAGTACAATCTGTCATTTTTTATGAATACTTAGAGGAAAATAGAAGATACATTAGCCAGTTATTATATAAAGAAATAAAACAAGAACTGGGCACAGTGTCCCATGCCTGTAATCCCAGCAACTCCAGAGGCTGAGGCAGGAGAATCATGAGTTGAAAGCCAGCTCTCAGCAGGTTAGTGAGGCATTTAGCAACTCAGCGAGACCCTGTCTCTTAATAAAGTATAAAAAAGGCTTAGCTGGGGATATGGCTCACTGGTTAAGCACCCCAGGTTCAATCCCTGGTACCAAAAAGAAAAAACAAAAAAGAGAAATATAACAAGCTGGGTGCCTTGGCACACACCTGCAATCCCAGCATCTTGGAAGGCTAAGGCAGGAGGATCACAAGTTCAAAGCCAGCCTCAGCAACGATGAGGTGCTAAGCAACTCAGTGAGACCCTGTCTCTAAATAAAATACAGAATAGGGCTGGGGATGAGGCTTAGTGCTCGAGTGCCCCTGAGTTCAATCTGTGGTACCTAAAAAGAAAAAAAAGAACTATAACAAGCCAGGTGTGTTGGCACAAATTTGAGGTCAACATAGGCAATTTAGTGAGATCTGTTGCAAAATAAAAATAAAAAATACTGGGGATATGGCTCAGTAGAGTGTCCCTGAGTTCAATCCCCAGTACAGGAAGGAAGGAAGGAAACAAGTAAATAGTAAGTTCTTTCAAGTAGATATTTCTTTATTATCATATGGAAAATACTCTGCAATTTTAATTTGTGGATTTTTTTTTCTTTCTTTTTTATGGTGGTACTGGAATTAAACCCAGGGCCTTACAAGGGCTCCACCACTTAGCTATATTCTCAGCTCTTTTCATTTTTAATTTAAAAAAAAAATTGTAGTTGTATACAGACAGAATGCCTTTAGTTCATTTGTTTGTTTATATGTAGTGGTAAAGCTCAAATCCAGGGCCTCACATGTGCTAGGCAAATGCTGTGCCACTGAGCAAAACCCCAGCCCTTTAATTTTTAATTTTGAGATACAATCTTGATAAGTTGTCCAAGCTAACCTTGAACTGGTGATCCATCCTCCTTAACTCCCTGAGTAGTTAGGATTATAGGGATGTACCAAGAGACCCAGCAGTAGATTTTTTTAGTCATTTTAAGTTTATATAAAATTTGGGCAGGGGCTGGGGCTCAGCGGTAGAGTGCTTGCCTGGCACATGTGAGGCACTGGGTTCAATCCTCAGCACTGCATAAAAATAAATAAATAAAATAAAAGTATTTTGTCTTTTTAAAAAAGTATGTTTCATCATAAAGCATTACTATTGTACTTGCACAAACAGGCACATATTGGTCCTAAGGATGATTTTAGTCTCTGCTATTTTATTATTAATCTGTATTTTGTTGTGTTTTTACTTAGTAAGTTTAAATTTTCTTTTTCTTTCTTTTTTTTAGTACAGGGGATTGAACCCAATGGTGCTTAACCACTGAGCCATATTCCCCCATCCACAGCCCTTTTTATTTTTTGTTTTGAGACAGGATCTTGCTAACTTAGGACCTTACTATGTTGCTGAAGCTAGCCTTGAACTCGTGATTCAGCCTCCCAAATCTAAGATTTACAGGCATGAGCCACCATGCCTGGCAAATAAATTTTTCAAAGTTTCAAAATATAAAGAAAATGCAGAGGTTGTACATAAGCTAAAAGTCATTAGACCAGATGCAATGATACATGTCTGTAATTTCAGGTACTTAGGAGCCTGAGGCAGGAGAAGCACGAGTTTGAGACCAGTCTAGGCAACATAATGAGAACCTGTCTCAAAGTAAAATATAAAATAGAGCAGGGAATGTAGCTTAGTGGTAAAATGCCCCTGGGTTCAATCCCAAGCACCACAATAAAAATATAAAAAAGGCTGGACACAGTGGCACACACCTGTAATCCCAGTGATTTGGGAGGCTTGAAGGATGATCACAAGTTCAAGGCCAGACTCAACAATTCAGTGAGACCCTGTCTCAATATTTTTATATATGCATGTGTGTGTGTGTGTGTGTGTGTATTCTTTTTTTAAAAAATCCTTAGGAAGAAGAAGTCTGAAGGTCAAACAAGGAATGACAGTGGATATTTGGTTCACAATCTTTTTTTGTTGTTGTTGTTTGTTTTTGTGGTACTGAGGATTGAACCCAGGGCCTCATACATGCTATGTTTGACTAAAATCTAACACTTTGACTTTATCTGATGAAACTGAAGCTTCATTGAACCATATGACCCAGTATTTCTATTTCACAGAAACTTGCTGACACACTTTAGGAAGTTTAAAAAAGGTTTGGGCCGGGCACGGTGGCACACTCCTGAAATCCCAGCGGACCCGGAGGCTAAGACAGGAGGATGGTGAGTTCCAAGCCAGCCTCAGCAATGGTGAGGCACTAAGCAACTCAGTGAGACCCTGTCTCTAAATAAAATACAAAATAGGGCTGGGATGTGGCTCGGTGGTCAAGTGCCCCTGAGTTCAATCCCTAGTACCAAAAAAAAAAAAAAAGGGTTGCAATGGTGCTGTTCCTAAGAGCTCACACAAAAGTTAACCCAAATGTCCATTTATGGTAGCATAAATAAACAGTAATGTAATGCAACTGAATACACCACAGGCACATATGGCAACATGAGTGATTTTTATGAACATAAGGGGAAGCCAAAGAAATGGGCACATATGCATATATGATGGCTTAATAATTGTGTAGGTGTCAAAAACAGACAGGCTGAATAAACTATAAAAACAAACAGGTGATTATTCCTGGTTAGCTGAGGGAATGATCAGGAAAGGATGGGCAGGGAGGAGATGTTGATTTTCTGAGATTTAGCAATGTTCTATTTCTCCTCTCTTTTATGAATTTGTTTTCCAAATTAAAGACTCAGCTGGGCATGGTAACGCATACCTATGATCCCAGGGGCTCAGGAGGCTGAGGCAGGAGGATCAAAGCCAGCCTCAGCAACTTAGCAAGACCTGTCTCAAAATAAAAGATAAAATGGGCTGGGGATATTGCTCAGTGGTTAAGCAACCCTGGGTTCAATCCTCAGTACCAAAAGCAAACAAACAAAAAGCCCAAATCAAAGACTTAGCATAGCCCTGCTGACTTGTTCCCTGCTGTGTCCTGCTCCTACAATGCACACACATTAGGAAAAAAACACATAATGTGAGGTCTATCCTTATAACCAATTTTTTGGGGGGAGGATACTGAGGATTCATACACTCTAAGCACATGCTTTATCATTGAGCCACAACCCCAGCCCACTATGGACAGATTTTTAAGTGTACAGTGCAGTATTGTTAATTATAAGCACAATGTTGTACAATAAATCTCTACAACTTTTTCATCTTGTATGACTCAGAATTATCGATTTCTGCGTATGCATTAGGTTTGTAGTCATATACTACACGTATGGTTTATGCATATGTCCTTGTGTGATATTTCAGTTATTTTCAATCTTTATTGTTTTGGAAAGGGGTTAATGGGGATTGAACTCAGGGTTCTCTACCACTAAGTTATATCCCCATCCCTCCTTCTTCTTCTTTTTTTTTTTTTTTTATTTTGAGACAGGGTCTTGCTAAGTTTCTGAGTGTCTCAATAAGTTATGGAAACCAGCCTCAAACTTGCAATCCTCCTGCCTCAGCCTCCCCAGTTGTGGGATTACAGGTGTGTACCACCATGTCTGGCTCAAAATTTTGAGGAGGGGAGAGAGAGAGAGAGAGAGAGAGAAGCATGAATCAATCTATGAGGAAAATTTCAAGTGAAGTGAATAGAAAAATTAATGATGGGCTGGGGTTGTAGCTCTGAGGTAGAGCGCTTGCCTCAAATGTATGAAGCACTGGGTTCAATCCTTAGCATCATATAAAAATAAAATAAAGGTATTATGTCCACCTACAACTAAAAAATAAATGGAAAAAAAAGTTAATGATGAAGTTGAAATGCACAAACTTCTGAATGTGTGGCCAGGAAACAAACAGATATGCAAGAGACCTCAGTTAAGGCTCGTGGTGAAAGCTGGCAATTGAAAGTTTAAAGACTAAGCAAGGTACTACTAAAATTTTGGGCACAAGGCTGGGGTTTTAGCTCAGTGACCGAGCATTTGCCTAGCATGAGCAAGGCTGTGGATTCCATCACTAGCACAATAAATAAATAAATAAACAAAATATTGGTTTTGAGCTTCTGGTGATCCCTCAAGTTCAAGGCCAGAATGTGTGGCAGTGGGTTAAGTAAGACTGCTTTGGGTGTTGAAGTAATTCTTTGGTATTTGCTGAGCAGGAAAGAGGAAAGTTTGTTTGTTTGTTTTGTTTTGTTTTGCAGTACTAAGAATTTTTAACCCAAGGGCACTCGGCCACAGAGCTATACCCCAGTCCTTTTAATTTTTTAATGTATCTTATTTACTAATTTGCCAAGGCAGGCTGGAACTTGGGATTCTCCTGTCTCAGTTTCCTGAGTCAACTGGGATTACAAGTGTGTGCCACTGTGTCCGGCTAGGGAAGGGTTCCATGTCTTGGCAAATTTTCACTGTTGATGAAGCCAGCCTATTTTGGAGAAGGATACCTGATAATGTATTTTAACAGGAAACCCATGGGAAAGACTGTTGTAAAAATTTGTAGGAATAGCATCCCCCCCACCCCCGTTAGCTTAAGTACATAACAGGAGGGAAAGCTTACATCTTTTCTTGTCCCTTTTATCTTTCCAGAAAAATGAACTGATCAATCTAGATTTATACAAACATTGTGTGGTAGGTAAATTTCAAATGGTTCCCAGTGATCCCTGCTCCAAGTGTCCGGCCCTTGTATAATCTCTTTCCCTTGTATGTGACTTGCTTCTAAAAAATAAGAGTATGGCAAAAAGTGAGTAAAAGAGAGTAAATTTCCCCACTAAGTGACTAAATCCTTGACATACATCTAACTCAGCTTTCTCAGCTTTCATATTTTGTGGGGAAGGGATCCTGGGGATTGAACCCATGGGGGAATTTACCACTGAGCTATATCATATGTCCAGGCCTTCTTACTTTTTGAGACAGGGTCTAAATTGCTGAAGGTCTCGCTAAATTGCTGAGGGTGGCCTCAAACTAGCAATCCTCCTGCCTCGGCCTTCTGAGTCACTGGGATTACAGGTATGTACCACCAGGCAAGCTAGGCAGCTTACACTTTCTGACAAAGCAAATTGCCATGCATGAGAGACCCATGTGCCAAGGAACCGAGGATGGTTTCTGGCCAAAAGCCAACAAGAAGCTGAAGTCTTCAGCTTCAGGAGCTTACTTCTGCCAACCAACTCTGGAAAAAGACTGTTCCATAATAAGCCTTTTCCTTCCTTCCTTTCTCTCTCCCTCCCTTCCTACTGTGGATCAAATTCAAAGCCTCACTTAATGCCAGGCAAGCATTGTACCACTGAGCTACAACCCTGGATCTTTTTAATTTTATTTTGAGACAGGGTCTTCCTAAGATGCCCATGCCGGGCTCAAACTTGGATCCTCCTGCCTCAGTCTCCTAAGTAGCTGGAATTATAGTGCACCACCCTTCCAGCACAACTGAATCTTTAAATGAAACCCATCCTTGACCAACACTTTGATTGCAAGTTAAGGGCCCAGTTAAGCTCACTTTGATTCCTCATCCACAGATACTGAGAAATAATAAATATGTATTGTCTTAAACTACTAACTTTTTGAATAAATTGTTAGACGGTAATGGAAAACTAACAACATACATCCAGGGACCAAATATCACCTTTTCTTAGTAAAGACGTATTTCAACATTAGTGAGATTGATAAATAACAGCAGGCAAATTCTTCCTTCTCTCTTCTCCCCTTAGTTTCCTCTGTTTTTGTCTCCTTTTTTTCTTTCTTGGTGCTGTGGATTGAACCCAGGGCTGCATTTTTCAGCCCATTTTCTATTTTGAGACAGGGTCTCACAAAATTGCTTAGGGCCTTGCTAAGTTTCTGAGGCTGGCTTTGAACTTGGGATTATTCTGCCTCAGCCTCCTGAGTCACTGGAATTACAGGTATGTGCCACCCCACTCAGTTTATATTTTGTCATTCTTGAGCTACACGAAGGATTATTTTGAACACTTAGGAAGACTGAACTGTTATTGAAATAATCAGTACTTTCATTCTCATTGTCCTTCAATGGGGAGAAATTAGGAACTGAAGTCTCTTTAAGGAGAAAACATGTCTCGTTTTGGGCACTAATGCAGTAGAGAATTCGTACATGTACACACATTCTGTAACCTTGAAGTTAGTCATTGACCCATGAGGATCTTTTTATTGATTTTTTTAAGGGATCGGGTGTTGAACCCAGGGGTGCTTAACCACTGAGCCACATCCCCAGTCCCTTTTTTTTTTGTATTTTATTTAAATACAGGGCCTCACTGAGTTCTTCAGGGCTCTCTTAACTGCTAAGGCTGGCTTTGAATTCTCAATCTTCCCCCCTCAGCCTCCCAAGCCACTAGTATTACAGGCGTGTGCCACCATCCAGGTAAGAATCTTCAGGTGCACTCTACCACTGCCCTTTTTGTTTTCTGAGACAAAATCTCCCTAAGTTACTCAGTGTTGAGAGCCACAGCCCAAGGGGCCCCAGCAAACTTCCAGCTGCCAGCTGATGATTGGCTCACAGCATCCCCAGCAAACTTCCAGCTGCCAGCTGATTGGCTCCTCTGCTGTGATGCTCATTGGGCTGTTTCCCCACCCTTTCAGACCATGGAGCTGCTCATTGGGTGACTTTTTTTTGGCTCCGCCCATGCAACCCAGCCAATCAGCTCCTCAAGAGCAGGAGGAGTGGGGGGGGTTTGAGAGGCTTGTGGGAAGCCGTTGGTGGCAGTTGGGCTCTGAGGGAATTCCTGAAGAGCTGGTGTGGTCTGGCGTGTGTTCTAAAAATAAAGTTCGTTTCTGCTTGATAAGTGGCTCATGAATTGTGCCCAGCCAGACTGCTGCAACTCAGACTGGCCTTGAACTTGGCATCCTCCTGACTCAGTCTTCCGCCTCCCAAGTCAGTAGGATTACAGGCATGTGCCAGCATGCCTGTCTCATGAGGGTTATCTTTGAAGAGGACACTATTTAGCACTTCTTTCAGAGATGATTTCTTGGCAACAAATAAGGAAAGTTTTCCATGCATTCTGAACTCCGTATCTCATCCCTCCTTAGTTGTTCCTAAATCCTTGCAGGCATCTGAAAAGCTAAAATCCATTGGTATTTCCCATAGAGTAGGTTCAGGATTAGACTTGAGTGGGTAGCTATTGGCAGGTTACTGAGCAAAGACATGCATACACAATGATACTTGCATCCACAATGTCTAGGCCCTGCAGGCACTAAAACACCCAACTTATTGACCTGTGACTCATAAACTTGGTACCCATAAAGAGATTATA